TATTTTTAACTTCAAAATGCATTACTTTACATTTTTAAACATTAAACCTCATCTGCCATATAGTTGGCCACTGCCCTATTTTATTCACATCCTACTGTAATGTTATAATGTCTAAGTCCGTGTCTATTACTCTCCCAATTTTAGTATCATCTGCAAACACAAACATGGCTATTAACACCTTCCCCAATATCATTAATAAACAGGTTAAACAGTATTGGGCCTAGCACAGAACCCTGGGGCACCCCACTCTCGACCTTAGACCGATCTAAAAAAAAGCCATTTATCAATACTCTCTGGACACATTCCTGTAGCCAGTTCTCTATCCTTGTACACACGATTTCATCTATGCCCATAGATTTCAGCTTGCATATTAAGCGTTTATGTGGTACCGTGTCAATTGCTTTTGCAAAATCCAGATAAACTACATACACTGGCTTTCATCGTAGAATGTCAGTAGCTTGGTCTAACAAGAACGGTCCTTCATAAATGCTGATTTTCACTTATTATACCTTTGTCACAAATAGAATTCACTAAATAGTCCTTTATCATTCCCTCAAACAGTTTTCATACTATTAATGTTAGACCGACTGGTCTGTAGTTCCCCAGTTGGCATCTTGAACCTTTTTTAATATTGATACTATCGTAGCTTGGTACCCTTCTATTCAGTATAGAGTCCTTGAAAATTAGGGATAACGGTCTCGCTATAACCTGGCTGAGCTCTTTAAGTACCCTAGGGTGCAGGTTTATTTGTATTAAGTTATTCAAGTCTTTGTTGAACCCCCGGCTTTCGTCAACCACTGCGCTATCTTACGCAATAAGCTACTCACATTCTTAGCTCCCTTAAACCTGTCTTTTTCTTGAGTGTATACTGAGGAGAAAAAATAATGTAATACCTCAGCCTTCCCCCCTGTCATTTGTGATTATCTCCCGTTCTCATGTTTTATTGGGCCTACCTGCTGTTTTCTTACCTTTTTAATGTTTATATAGAGAATAATTTTGGGGGGTTCTTCATACTGACTGTGGCGACATGCTTTTCGTAATCTATTCTAGCTGCTCGGATTTTATGTTTACATACCTTATTGCATTCCTTGTAGCTCTGGAATGCCATTGCAGTCCCGTTAATATTCAATTTGTTAAATGCTAGCTTCCTTTCTTTGATGTGTTGTCTTAACGTTTTATTTAGCCATGCAGGCTTAGTTCTTAATCTTTTGTTTTTGTTACCCAATGGTATGCACTTGGTAATAGTAATACATTACTGTTATGCAATGTATTCTTAAAACAATCCCACTTTTCGTTAGTGTTCATTGTTAGAAATAAGTTGTCCCATCTAGTTTCATACACCAGATGATGCAGCTTATCAAAGTTTTTCTTTTTTGAAATTTAGCATTCCTGTCAAACCAACACACCTCTCTTGTCTGTACCCAACATTAAAACTAATCGACCTGTGATCACTATTACCCAATGTATCCCTAATTGCTATGTCTTTAACTTGGTGGGCCTGCACTGCAAGGGTTATTTAAGTGCTTGTTTTTGTCTAGGGATGAAAATAACAAAGATATACTCACCCAAACTTCCAACCTGGCCAGCTGTTACACCAGTCCCCATAGCCTCTCTCCGCCTCCACTCCGACAGTCTAAAGTCCTGTGAGTCACCATGACCTATGCAGTGTGCAGGACATGTGGATGCCGAGGTAGATTCCATCGCTGGAGCGGAGAAGTAGCAAAGATACAAAGAGGTACTTGCACAAGTGGTGCCCATTGTCAAGCCCTATACTTAAAGCTACTGCAATCCAAACAAACATGCATCTAAAAATAGAGAGACTATACAATTGTATTTAAAAGTGTCCACCCAAAAGGGATTTAAAGGTGTAAAACATATGAAAGGCAATTATGTGACACTAAGGTAAAAGGGGAATGAACCCTATCAGTGGCTGAATACTAACCCAAATATTTAGACATCTTAAGGGTTGTAATAATTTATCTATGCATTTAAAGGGTGTATAAAATATGGGTAGCTTAGGAACGGTAGTTTTTACATAATGATCAGTGCTATCCTTCAGGTAACCTTTTCCAGTAAAGTCATAGAACAGGTTATCTATGTTGTAGGGATAAGGGAGTAGTCCCCTGAACTTTTAATATTCTAAGGCATATACTCTTGTGTTGGTTCCCTTACATAATAACAAAATCACGCCCTTAGCTCATGGTTTAGGTAGCACAGTGCTGTTGGGCAAATCATGTGAAGCTTTCAATTTAGCCAGTGATAGATTATCAAAAACATTCTTCTGCATAGGCAATATATCATTTTCTTTGGAAACAACCTTGACAAGGGCATAAACACTTGAATTGAAAAAAAGAAAGAAAGGGAAAGAAATAATGTAGAATGCTTGTTGAACGCATATCAACTCGGTTGAAAGTTACCATTTTGTTCAGAACAATTTAGCCTCATCAAGCAGAAAACAGAGCAATGCCATATCGTTTTCCTCAAGATTGATTGCCCTCTATAGTTACAGATCTGTGACACTCTTGATAGATTTATATACTCCTGTTTATATTGATTACCATCCTCCATTTAAGTCATATATTGGACGATTGTGCTTAGTATAATACAATTTTAAATCATAAACATTAATTTAATTTCTATAAAACATTTAATTACATATGTTTTTGTGAAAAGATCAGCTGTTCTTAGTAAGTGTGGATATTCTGAATAGAGTATTACAGTAAAATATTATATAAGGTTTGGCTCCCATAGCATGCATAGAAATGCTTTAATTATAGTATTTAGTGTAAGATCTTTAAATATGAGCTTGCCACAAGCCTGTAAATAGTTGAAATTAATTGTCAATATCACGTTCATGTATTGTATGAGGAAGAGCAAAAAATGTAGTGCTATTCACAGATAACTTATTTTATGATCAAGGCCCAGCAATTCACACAACTCTAATATGATACTAATATACTAACCTATCACAATAAAACCAACTTGGTGGTTGTCGAGCAATATGCATACATGTATTTCTAATTATACAATAGCTCGGTACACTTTTTTTAAAAAGGGTCTGCTACTACTAATATTACCACTACTACTTTTACTACTACAATATATGTCACTACAACTGCTGCCATTGATGTTACTACAACAACCAATAGTAACACTAATACTAATAACAAAAACAGTGTCTCTAGTACCTTTACTACTACTTCCAACACTGTCACTATATATGTCACTACAACTGCTGCCATTGATGTTACTACAACAACCAATAGTAACACTAATACTAATAACAAAAACAGTGTCTCTAGTACCTTTACTACTACTTCCAACACTGTAAACAGTGATAGTATGGTCACTCTTTGCACCTCTTTTAGTATTAAATTTAAAAACCGTGTGCATGGAACATAACTACAAGTATTTATCAAGTATATATGGATAAGCAACGTGAGCATTTAATCCAAATTATATTTCAACAGATGCATACTATTAACAAACAAAAACAGTTACTCAGATGCTATACAATAAATTCAGGACCATGGAGAGGGCATAGAGGACTTACTATAATCAAACAGGAAGTGCAGCACTTTTTTTTAAATGTATGGCATCAACTATGAACAGGCTTGTCTTTTCTTCCAGCATATATTGTGGTATTTCAGCACAAGTAAATACACATATAAACAAAGAATAGTATTAGTTGGAATATTTCTACTTTCTAGTCATATTTATGACAGCTAAAGACAATAGTGGATGTGATCTCAGTGGCATTGTTTGATTATTAAACGCAACATATGCCATGTATTTTAAACATACAGTACCTAGTAATCTATCAAACTACAATTCTGCAGAAAAGCAATCAATAATTGTCTTCCCAGCACTGATCTACATGAAAGAGATTATTTGATTAGAAACTCTTGTGGTGCCTTTACCCTTCCTTTCTGAATAGGGCAGAAGGATATTTATTAACTCTTCTTTGTCTGTTAGAGTATAGAAGTACTTACATTGCTTGTAACACTGTAGCCATGAAATGTTCTTGCCTTATCGTTTGTGGTAAAATTCTAGCTGAATGTTGTCTTACTGTAATCAACAAGTGCCTCTGTCATCATTCTGTGTAAAAACACTACCAGTGACACATAACTGTCATTTTAATAATTTCAGTGGGAATCTTAGTAGCTCATCTGAATGTTGACTGTAGCATAAATAAAAAAAATGCTCACAGTAGATTGGTATAATTTACTAGTAAAGTACAAATGTTCTGTCAGGGTAACCAGTCAGACATTCACTTTTCTTTCTGTGGTAGGTTGGTGAAAGCTAATAACTGCTCTGTTGCTGAGTTTCTGCACGTTTGCTCTTTGGAAGCTTCAGTAAATTGCTTAAAAAAAGCTATTTATTCACACTGCCCATTGTGCAAATAAACAGTACTGCCTCTAAAGCATAATAGGAAAATGTAGTTTTAAATAATACGCCGTTAATAATTGCAACTCACATTTTGCTTATATTGAATGTTGCCATCTCCAGTAGGGTATTTGAGGATGTACTGGGTAAATCACATGCTGCCTGTGTTATCTTCACAGTATCTATCTATTCTCTTTATTATTTTCTTGCTACAGGCAGCGTTGAAGTATAAGGACAAGAAACAACAGTCTAGCTATGATCAACATGTTGTTGAGTATAATCCCACACAAACACAGCATACATTATTAACTATAAGACACATGCAGAAAAGCCAGTGCTAATTGCAAAAAAGCAAGCACACTTATAGTATAGTATATTATAGTAAAGTTAAGATGAAATACCTTATTCTTATATTATAAAAGTAGCTTAGAGACTGCTTTTAACATTATACATGAAGGATAGTAATGAGGGTTCTAAAGTGCCAAAATACTATGCAACCCTAAACAATAAAATAAACTTGAAGTGTGATAATGAACCTACCTCATCTTTTGTATATTAGGGTTTATATTAATGCTGTCACAAAATCCCAACCCACCCTTTTTTCAATTACTAACCAATTTTAAGAAAGAAGGTCCCAATTCTGCTAATGCACGTGGGTCTTCCAGTGGGTGTGATAAATCTGACAAAAAAAAACTTCTCCTTTCTGTTGTTCCAGCTTCCTTTACATAAAGCTTAGTAAAAATGAAAACTTTCCGAGGTCATCCTTAAAATCACAAGATGAGATCCTTATCAGATTGACATGAGTAGATAGGTAAGATTGTTTGTATATCTCCAGGGTTCTTTGGAAACACAATCCTCTTAAGCTGTGTATATATCTGTCATGTCATCAGTGAAAGAGGATGCTTGCCAGAATCTTGGTGCCATTATCTCTTGTTTTAAAATGGTAAGCAGTGTCATATCGCAGAGAGAATCAACATCATCTCCAGGTCAGTCGGGAAAGCTGGTCTGTTCGCTGCAATCCTGGCTGTGCTTGCAACAGCCCATGATTTATGATGTCCTTCCTGAGATGAAACTGTAGCGCGCTGTTCCTTTGTCACCTCCCTAGGTTCAGATGTTTGGCGTTCTGGATGACTGATAAATCAGTGACCCAAAATGTAAAGTCCACTAACTCACTAAAGGAGCAGGAGGATCAGTCTGACACTGCCAGACAAGCTGTCAAGAGCTGTGCTGCCAACTCACTTAATCCTCCTGGAAAAATCATTTAGCAGGGATTTTCCCTGTGCAACATATCTACCTACTATATCTTCTATAACATCCACTAGGAAAGTGCCTTGAATGTAGTCCTTTAAGAAATCTGACAGAATGAATTACAATTCAAAAAAAATGCACACAATGAAAGTGTTTTGCATTTCATTTAAATGCATGAGCACAACTGAATCTATGCAGGGAGCAGCACATAAGATCTATCTGTCTCTATTGAACTCTTATGAATCTGGAGCTCTGGCTGGGAGAGAATCAGGAGGAGGGAGATGGGAGGTGCTGGAAGGGGATTCTCTCTGCCTATGAATACAATAAGTCAGAAGACATCTTCCCTAAATAGGGATTTCAAAGCGTTTCTGAATCTCAAGTTGTATGATTTCACAGACCACAGAGAACAGAAAAAAAAGAAAAAGAGAAAAAAAAACAAGGCCAGGAGAGGAGGCTGAAAATCCTTCCACTGTAAACACTGAATCAGGTCACAGTTCTACCTGCATTCAGTCTTCCTATTTCTATTTTCCAATTCACTAGAGTGTTGTTGTTTTTTGTCTGTTGGCTTTTTTTAAATTTTATTTAAGGCACAGGATACATAAGTAAAGCTTTACAGCAAAATGCAAACAAATCATTTTCAGGATTTTTCTTTCTCGTATTTGCTGTATAATTGTTATGTATTAATATTATTAATAGTATTACCATCATCAGTGGTATTATTACATAGAAATATAGATGACTCACATGACTTCCTGAAGATGTACCTACACAGTAAATACTGAAGAGTGTCAGCCCAGAGGTAAACAGGTGGTAGCAGAGGTGTGTGTAGGGAAGGGTTATAGTGGTGTCAAGGTGTGTGCAAGGAAGAGGGTGTAGTGGCAGCAGAGGTGTGTTCAAGGAAGGGGGTGTAGTGGTGGTGGAGGTGTGGGCAG